TGGGTGACTTGGAAGCTTCATGACTCCCACCAACAACCAGCAGAACTTCCAGAGAAATCTCCTTTCCCAACAGAACTCACAATGAGCTGATTTATAAAATGGACTGAGCAGCAGTGAAGCTTTTGAAGGGACAGGAACACAACATGTTTTGTCTCACCTATCCTGGTGTGGGGTGAGGCAGCGCAGGGCCCCCTGTGCCCCCTGCCCGAGGGCTGCCCCAGCTCCACTGGGATCCCAAGGTGGAAATCCCAAYTGCTGCCAGCAGCACTGACACAGCAGCCAGCCCCATCCTGGGAAAGGGAGGCCAAATGGATCCAGGATCCTCATGGCTTAATGGAAAGCCAGGCACAGCCAGGGGCTGCACAGCACTTCRGCTGCCCTGTCATTCCCTTTGTGCCTAATGTATGGTGGAACCTTTCATTCATCAGCATCTTGTACTCACAGATTTTTCCTTTCCTCTCCTTTTTTTTTAGGATTACCTACATGTATTACATTTACAGAGAATCTCCTTCGTGGTGTTCATAATGTGAAACAAAAAACAAAGAGGCAGATTTAGGCAAAAAGCAGAAGAGCTTCTCCTCTTTCTCCCAGTGAGATACCCCACAAATAATCCCACTCTGMAGCTTTTTGAAAAGCACTTATGGAAAACACAGCCAAGAGAAACCCCCATTTTTTTGTTTATCCAGTCTCACATGATTGTGAGATAAAGAGAGGGGCTGACAGGAGAGTCTGGCACTCTGCAGTGGGGGGCAACAGTTCACACATTTTGTTAACAAATCATGTAATAAATATGAAATAGGTCAAAGTAGTTAGTATCATAAATCAARCAAGGTCAAGACCAAGTGAATGCTCCAATATCCAATATTAATACATAATTCCTGTAGCATTACTACACTGCTTTGCAGAATGTAATAATACATTGCAAAGTTTATGTCCTTCTGTCTGTTTTTCAAGTTCTTTTCATAGATTTTATTCCACTGAAAACATTTGGATTTTTACTCCCGTGTCTTTGTGTAAATATATTCATCATCTACTTCTGTCAATTAGTCTGGCACCAGGATTTACTGCACTGCAAATATTCAGCACCATGACTCACACAAAGCTTGTCAGTTTATCCTCAGAGCATGTTTGGTGTAATTTGCCAGCTCCTGGTGATTTCTTGGGACCTTTTCTTAGCTTTTAAGGCTTTTTGGCATGAATAGCTCATTAACTGCTTTCTCTGAAGACAAATATGTTGAAACTCTCTAATAATTTTCTTTGCCAGTATCTTTTTCTGAGCTTACTGATTCTCAATTCAGAAGTTTTGCAAGCTTTGATTTCTTGCCAATGCTGTCTTCTGCTTCTACACTGGATTTCTTCACAGTCCTTACAGTTATCTCCACCTTGCAGAGTATTCTGTGATTAGTTTTGGCCCTGTTTACTAAAGATCCCCAAACCACGATTTGTTCTTGTTTTCTTTTTCTCAGTGTTGTGGTGGGGCTGTTTTTAAGTCTTAACATTTTCAAGTAATCACCCAGATGGTTTAACTATTTCTRAAACTGTCTTAATTTTATTCTTCATGAATTTTAAATATGCAAACATACTAAAAACACACTGCAGTTAAGCATGTTTAAAAGATCAAAATAATCAATGCCTTAGTAAATGTTAGGCTCGAATTGTGAAGACATCTGCCAGATAATGTTTACAGAATGGTTTAAGCTTTCCTCTCTTAATTTTGGCAAACTTTAATGCACTCAGGGGAATATCAGGCTCTTAGAAGGGTATTTTACAACTCCAGAAATATTTACCCATTCTATTTCAAATTCATGCTTAACAGAAGTCATAATTAAAGCTTTAAATCAGCTAATTTCTAAATTTTAAGGATATTAAAGGAAACTGAGGATGAAGTGGTGRTAAGCCGCAATTTTTAAAAAATGGTTTTAATTTCCTGCAAAAGCTTTTTGCGCAGTTTCGGCTATAAGTTTAAGTTATCTACAGGAAAGCCACAGGTAATTCTTTATTTGTTGTTTTAAATGCAAGCCTGCCCTCTCGTGTGAGACTGAGGTTTAGCACAGCTACAGGCAAAGAGAGGCAGGAAGATCACACCTCTTGACTCTAAAAATCACAGACTCTTCTGTTGGTTAAAGAACAGATTTGGGGTTTTTTTCTGAACAAGGACACACAAACCAGCGACTTAGAATTTAACAGGATTAAGAACAAAGTGCTTTCTATTTTGGTTGTTACCTGGTAAACTAAAGTCAATTTGCAAATATTTAAGTGCATAGGTACTTTTGGAGTTAATCTCTTCYATTAYCTTTTCTACACATGCAGTAGAGASAAAAGGAAAAAAASGTTCTTCTCTGTCTGACTGACAAAAAGAAARGAAAGGGAAACAGAGCCAAATCATRAGTTTCTGTTTCRTTTTTTAAACTTTACTCCAGTCAGTGTGAAAAGCATCTACTCCCTTGGGAGGAGGAGGTCTGAGTCACAAGTGACTTGCAAAATCCCCTGAAAACACCAAAACTGTCCCTGACAAGATCCTAAAGCTCTACCACAGCTATTATTATCTACCCCACACAGTTCATACTCAGCACAAGCCATAAATGTTTWACCAGCTGCATGAAATCCAGAGTGTTTCACCCCCTGAAAAGTCAGGCACCTCCAACACAAGCAAAWAAGAAACAACACTTACTTCCGAAGGTGTTCGTGTTCCTTCAGGAACAATTCTGTTCTTCTGTTGTTCACACCAGACCCACTTTTATACGATCTAAAATCCAACAAAACAGACCCTTAATGAGAATTATGAACTCAAAGAACTTCTGCTTTATTCACAGCACAAACAAGTGAGCTATGCCAAGCATTCTCTCCACCTTCTCCCTCTGAGGACAGTYCCACACTTTTGCTGTAGCAAACACAACTTACTCGATATCTTTCCGTACTGATCCCAACAGGTTCTCCCTTTCTCGTATTGCCAAGAAATTTGCTTTGGTTTTGTGGAATTCGTGCGTATAATCCTGTAATAATAAACAGTTATCCCAAAATTATGGTCCTGAGTTAACTGAACAACACAGTACACCCACAGAATCTCCAACCACCTTTTAAACACAAAGTGAGACACCTTTAAACACCTCTCTAACACAAAGTGAGAGACCAACTTAGGAATTTAACAGCAAAAATGMTGGAAGTTAATGCAAAGTACTTTTAAAACTCACTGCTCTTACAGGAGTTGCTAAGTTTGATGGCTACAGCTACAATTGTAGAGAGAAATCCACTGTCATTCCTTCTCCCCGTTTCAGATATCCTCACCTTTCTGATGAATTAGCTTGTGTTGGAATTTCCCATGAGAAGCCCTAATAAAACCTACTTTGGTGTGCTGAAGATGTTCTTGGGTTTATTCTGTTGTCACACCAGATTAAAAAAAAATTCTTTTCTGAACAGTGAAGATTACTTTTATTTTCAAGTTGCAATTTTACATTTTAAACCATTTCATGCAGCTATTAATTCTCAACACCCAATCTAACTGGCAGCTGGTGTGCCCCAAAACCATTGTAGCCATTCACACAAATGCTATTGCTTTTTACACTGTGTATTGATTGCACTGATACCAAACAGAAATCATACTCTACACCACCAGCCAAATAAAATATGAATTTTAACAGTACTACGAAAACATTACCAGTCTGAAACATGGTTAATTTATAGCACTGACTAGCAGCTTTAACCATCACATTTCCTTCATCTCCCTCGAGAAGCTTAGAAGGTTTTACAATCATGTTTTCTGAAGTSTGATGTTCCCTTGCACATTGCTACGTGACAAGCCACACAGACAAGGTAATTCATTACAGCACTTCCCCCTTTTTCTACATAAAACCCACCCACATAAGGCAGCACCCTTTATTGTTCTTTCTTAGCTAAGTCCTAGTCACCAAAATGACAAAAAAAGCACAATTTTTTGCAATTCAGAGCTCAGCCTGRAGAGAAGGAAAGCGAGATGGAATCAATGGCATTTACACCTCCTGATAAGAAACCCCAGCAAGCTGTGATATCAGCATAGATAACAATAATTATTTTAACCAAAGGAGGAGGCACGTTGGGTACCTGCAGGATGTCCCTGTGGCGCTGCAGCGTGTGCATCAGCGCCGCGTTCAGCGATGGCACGCCCGCACTGTTGGTGTACTCTGCCATCTTGTCATTTATTCCAGTCAGCTACAGGAAGGAAAAACAGCCCAGAAAACATCAAATGGCTTATTCTTGCAAGAAAACGACAATGCACAAGCTGAAAGGGCCAGATAAACGGGCACACCTTGTCCAACACCCACACTGGGATTTCCATCACAGAAATCCATCAATGTGACATTGCCCAAATGCTGAAATAAACTGAGGTTAAGCTGAGTTACCTTTCCCAGAAGTTGCTCAATCTCCACAGCCATGGTCTCAAACATTCTGTCCTGGCTTGATCCATTTAATAAAGGAGTTGTGTCAGAGCTAAGGGAAAAAGGAGCAGCAGTCACTGAAAAGTTGCATCATTTCACGAATGCCAGAAATAAGGAAATGCCAGTGGCAGGGATTGGGAAGCTCCACTATACCCAAGTTTTCTAGAGATTAAATAAGCTCAGAAAAACTACATTTTCTTATTCTACATTCCTTTAACTCTTATCTGAACGGATGGCACAGTATCACCTGCAGGAAATACAACCTCTCCTTGGAAGAAATGCCTGACACCACAAACCTGTCTGCTATCAGTGACCTTCTCTCCCCAACTTWTAAGTTTGATTTATTTATTTACTGGCAGGGAGCACTGCATTGTTAGCCTGTTACTCCAGCAACGTAATTGCCCCTTAATAACATAACGTGAGGCCAAACCTCTGACCTGTTAAGCAATCCATGTCCTACAGAGCAACACAAACCACGCAATTTATCACAATTAGTTCCACACACCTTCCCTATGTGCTTTGAAATATAAACTGAAACCACAAGGAAAAGTCACATCTCAGATCAGCCCCCAGAAGAATGACAACTAAAACACTTCAGATGACCCCCTTTGGTCATCTGCCTCAAATTGAGTAAGAGAAGTAAGTTTGGCACAGTGAAAATAATGACAACATTTAGATTACATGGCAAGTGACAGGAGAGAGCCAGAAACAAAAGTGAAACTAGGGCTATTCAAGAAATCACTAGTGAGGGTGCCATCAGGCTTCCAGAACAAGAAATTCAGGGAGAGGATCAAAATGGATTCAGTCATTAAATAAAAATGAAAAATATCAATACACATACCTACAGTAGCAACACKCACAACTGATACAGTTACTAAGCAAAGAAGAGTTCACAAATGGACAGAAAGRTTGATAAATCCTGCTGTGGAACTGGCAGGGAACAGCTCACCTTTGGCTCATAAGATAGAAAGTGTTGAAGAGTTTAACCACATTAATTCCTCAGCCAATTATGAGTGTGACTAAAGCAAACAGAAAGTACCCRTGTTTATACACAAGGACCGTTTCTACACACACACATATAAAACATATCTGCAGCTCTCATTATTCTCATTAACACTGTCCCTGTTCACAGCACTGGGGTTGGAAYGAGATGATCTTTGGGGTCCCTTCCAACACAAACTGTTCTGTGGTTCTATGATTATTACTCAGCTCAGGAGAAAGCCAGGAAGAAACAGCCACCCCCTTTCAAAGAGAGGGTTTGCTCCCTGCACAGCTGCTCAGTGCTCCAGTTCCCTTAAAAACAGGGATTACAAACAGCACACCAGCCACCTGGGAAGTGCAAAGCTAAATTCCTCTAATACCCAAGCCCCTGAAAACCTCCTGTTAGTCTAGTACAAGAAAAAACGGGAAATAAGCCAAMTTAATGAGCATTAAAAAGCTCCCTGACCGCAGACAGAATGAAGTTTAAATCCAGCTTTCCCCAGTGACCTGTCACCCACAGCTCTCCCTCACTCACACGCCAACATCACATCGAGAGCAACACCAGCAGCAAGAAGCGCCCAAAGGAGCTTCCCAAGAAGCCAAACACGAGAGCCACAGGTGGGACCAACACTCAGAAAACGGTAAAACCGCACCACGCACCACAGGCAGCATTTGAAACATAAAGAAACGGGCTAGTACCTATACCTGTCGCGCCTTCCGTCTCGGCTGCTGCTGTAGCTGGTGCAGAGCTTGCTGAAGGAGACCAGCTTCAGGTCCAGCTCGTTCTCCAGCTGCCTCGCCTGCTTCCTGAGATCTGCACGGGGCGGGGGAGAGTCACGGACCCGCCGCCTCCGGGGGTCCCGATTTCCCGGGAAGAGAAACCCACAGCGGAGGGGAGACCCTCGTGGGCGGGGGAGCGCCTCACGGCGATTGGAGGGCACGGCTGGACACCCACAGCCCCTCACCCACAGCCCCRGGAGGGTCCGCCCCGCCGCGGGGTTCAGCAGCACCGGCGCCTCATGGCTGACGGGCCGGCACCGCCCGCTCCCGCCGGGCCCCTGGGAGAGAGCAGAGGCGCCCCAGCAGCGGTTCCGCCCCACCATGCCCGGACCGTGCCCCGGGAGGGCCCCGCGGGGCGCAGCCGCCCCGTGCCCGCCGCCCCCCGCCCCACTCGCCTTCCCAGTAGTTGCTGCTCCCCGCCGCCATCTTTGTTGTCCAACGTCAGCGCGGGCCGGGCGGGGCGGAGCGGCCGCGGCGAGCGGGGCAGGCCGGGA